GAATTGTTGTCCAAGTAAGACAGCTATACAACGTTAACTTCAATCTAAAGTCTTTCTTCTTTTAAGCCTTGATTTCTAACACTCCCCCTCAAGTTGGAGCGTGTATGTCTAAAAGATTCAACTTGCTTTTCAATCGTAGGAAAGTTTCCTTGCCCAATGCTTTTGTAAAAATATCTCCGATTTGATCTCTAGAAGGAAGGAATGCAGTACGTAATGTTCCATCTTGAATTCTTTCACGAACAACATGGCAATCAATTTCAATGTGTTTGGTTCGCTCATGATAGACCGGATTTACTACTATATATATGGCAGCCTTGTTGTCACAATAAAGTGTACTAGGAAAGGAATGTGATATACCAAGATCTTGTAAAAGATATCGTAGCCATTGTAGTTCACATGTAGCTACTGCCATTGCCTTATACTTGGCTTCTGATGAGGAACTAGATACTATGGGCTATTTTTTGGTTTTCCATGAAATTGGACTTGTTCCGAGAAACACACAATAACCCGTTGTTGATCTTCTTGTCATGGGCCAACTTGCCCAATCTGAGTCACAGAAGGCTTGCAATTTTAATTCATTATGAGAGGATAATAGAATACCTTGACCTAGTGATCCCTTTAAGTAATGAACTAAACGTGTGGCAGCTTTCATATGTGGTTGGCGTGGTTGGTGCATGAATTAGCTGAGGATATTAACTGCAAAAAGAATATCTTGTCTTGTAACAGTTAGATAAATAAGTCTTCCAATCAAGCGGCGATATGAGGCTGGATTGTTGAGTAGATTGGCATCAATATTGTTGAGCTTTAGATTTTCTTCCATGGGAAAAGGCTCAGGTTTAGCTCCCAATAAACCTGCGTCTTTGATAATATCCAAAGCATATTGTCGTTGGTTCAAACAAATGCCTCTTCGTGATCTTGACACCTTAATCCCAAGGAAATATTTGAGATTGCCCAAGTCTTTTAGCTTGAATCGCTGATGTAGAAAGTTCTTAAGCTTGGAAATCTCATTTGCATCTGAACCTGTGATAATTACATTATCGACATACACTAGTATAAACACTGAGGAGATACCTTTGTGTTTATAAAACAGAGAGTAGTCGGCTTTGGATTGAATGTAACCAGCGTCAAGAATGGCCTGTGAAAATTTGGCATACCATGGCCTAGAAGCCTGCTTAAGTCCGTAGAGCGATTTATGTAACTTGCAAACAAGATTCTCCCCCTTACGGACATAACCTAGTGGAGGCTGCATATAGACGTCTTCATGTAAGTCACCATGCAAAAAAGCATTGTTGACGTCTAATTGATGAAGAGGCCAATCCTTGGAGGCCGCAATGGTAAGCAAAACCCGAACAGTGACCAATTTTGCAACGAGAGAGAAAGTCTCTTTGTAATCAACACCCTCTAGTTGAGTATAGCCTTTAGCAACGAGGCGAGCTTTAAACCGCTCGATGGTACCATCTGAATTTCGTTTGACTTTGTATACCCATTTACAACCAATGGGGTGTTTGTTGGCAGGGAGAGCAACAAGGGACCAAGTGGAATTTGATTCGAGAGTGTGGAGTTCATCACGCATGGCATCACACCAATGGGGAATACGAGAGGCCTGTGAATAGGAAGTAGGTTCCTCTACAGTAGAGATAGAGGCTAAAAAAACATTGTGAGGGTGAGAAATATTAGAATAAGTGAGATAATGAGAGAGAGGGTAACGGGTACCTTTGTTAACCGAAGATGGAGTGACATGGGTATTGTAACAGTGGTAGTCGAGGAGCTTGATGGGTGGTCGACGTATACGAGGTTCAAGATCAATTGCTGGAGAAGTTGGCGAAGGAGTGGAAGGATTAGTGGTTGGATGGGCAAGGGGTGTGATGTTATTGGTTGGAGTCAATGTAGGGATAATATGGGATGGGGTGGAAGGATTAGTAATTGCAGATGTAGAGGAAGGGGGTGATGGATGGGTAGGAATAGAAGGTGATGAAGAGGGTGAAGATGTGAGATCATGTGGTGTTGGTCTATAGGTGTAGGAGTGGGTGCAGCATAAGGAAAAGATGGAGGGGTTTCAATATCATAGGTATCTGTAGGTAGTGTAGGCATATTTGGAGGTGAAAAAATGGTATGATCATGAGTGGAAGGTGTTGTTTCATAAGGAAAATGGTTTTCAAAAAACTGGACACCCCGACTAATAAAAATTTTATGGGTGGAATAATCATAAATTTTGTAACCTTTTTGATTGTGGGGATAACCAACAAAAATTCCAGGTGTGGCTCGTTTGTCAAATTTGGGTGCTTTGTGTAAGACATTGTTGGCAAAGCAAAGACAACCAAAAACTTTTAAGTGTGTATAGGTTGGTGGCTTACCAAATAAAATTTCATAGGGCGTTTTACCTTTTAACACCTTACTTGGTAATCGATTGATGAGATATGTAGCTGTCAAGATGCATTCTCCCCAAAATTGGAGAGGTAGATGAGATTGAAAACGGATGGATCGGGCCACATTGAGAAGAAGGTGCAAAGAGTACATAAAGGAAAAGGAGTTCTAGCATGTTTTTCTAATGGACAAATCAAATAAGTATCCTTATTAAAACAAGAAACAGAATCTGAAAGGTGCGAAATCTTGGATTGAACCATATGGGAGGGATGGCCTAAATGCCAATGCCAGAGATTAAAGGTTGTAGATGTGACGGTGGAAACAATGGGAGCATCTTCGGAATCCAAGTAGTAGAGACCACCATGCACACTACCCTTGCCAATCCTCTTCTTCGTAACTAGGTCCTGGAAAATGCATTCATTAGGATAAAATGTGACGGAACAATTTAAGGACTTGGTAATCTTATGAACATACATTAAATTGAATTGAAAAGAAGGTGCAAAGAGTACATTTTGCAAGGGTAATGTGGGGGATGGACTTGACTGGCCTATATGTGTAATAGATGTTGTTTGGCCAGTGGGTAATTTGACTGGTGCACAAGTAACGGGTGTTTTGGTATGAAATAATTTTGAATTTGATATCATATGGTCAGTGGCACCCAAGTCAATAATCCAAGTAGAGGAATTGAAACTAGAAGTTAGGCCACATGAAATACCTGAAAAATTATTTGCCAAAGGACTACTTTTACCATTGGAAACCATGGAAAGAAAATTTTGATATTCCTCTGGAGTGAGAGTGACGCCGGTGTTGGATGGTGATGGATTGGCATGCATAGCAGCAGTGAAGGGAGGTTTATTGGATCTATTCTAATTATTCATGCTAGATGCATGGTTCATGTTCGACTGATTTCTGGTGGATTGATCTCCCGTAGACTGATTGCCCTGTCTCCTTTTGTATCGGCAATGAGAGTCGGAGTGCCCATCCTTGTCACAGAAATCACAATGATATTTTGAAGGATCTTTGTTCCTGCAATGAGATTCAATATGACCATCTGCTCCACAAAAATCACAATGATATTTTGGTTTGGATGATGAACGAGAAATAGCAGCCAAGGCAAATTGATCTGGTATTTGTATAGTTGATGAACTCAATGAACGTTGACGTTCATCCTGTAAAATAAGAGCATGGGCCTTAGTAACTGTGGGTAATGGTTCAATCAATAGAATATTGCTTCGAACAGTAGAATAAACTTCATTAAGGCCTGTGAGGAATTGCATGAGTCTCTGCTCCTCTAAGATATCATTACGAGAGTTGGTGGCACCACAGGAACAAGGAGCCACAGATGTGTACGATGAGAGTTCATCCTAAAAACCTTTGAGGACAGTGTAATAGGTTGACACAGAAGACGTCCCTTGGTGGTGATTAGATATACTTCGATGTATCTCAAATATGCGTGGAGCATTTTTTTTGCGAAAAACGTTCCTTGAGATCAGTCCAAACATCAAGCGCACTCTCGGTATAAATGACGCTATTGGAGATCTCTGCAGAAAATGAATTGACAATCCAAGAATTCACCATACTGTTGCAGCGAATCCATTGGTCATAATATGGGGATGCTTTTGTAGGCAAGGTCAAGCTTCCATCAATGAATCCAAGTTTATTCTTGGCTTCCAGAGCTCTGCGTATAGCTCGACTCCAGGCAGGGTAATTATCTCCGATAAGAGGTTTGGAGACAATAATAGCGCCAGGGTTGTTTGAATGATGAAGGTAAAGTGGTGAAGAAATTGCATAATCAGGTATTGAATTAGTTTCCTGGTTGACGGATTTTTGTGTTTTCGGTGTGACACTGCTTTCTTCAGTATTTGTCGTGATGAAGATTGCAGGAAGAGCAAAGAGGGATCAGACGTTTTGCTCTGATACCATATAAGAAAATATGGTGAATGTTTTCTGTATTGATCACTGTACAAAGATTACAAATATATAACAAAGCTTAAGGAATACAAAAGGAAAGAAATCTCCAAATCCTATGTCTAAGGTAATTACACAGAAAAGGAAAAGAATTGATGTCCAAGTAAGACAGCTATACAACGTTAACTTCAATCTAAAGTCTTCCTTCTATTAAGCCTTGATTTCTAACAGTTCGGCAGTTAGGGATCTCGAATGGGTTTGGTGTTGTGTGATAGAGTGTATTAAGGTGCACCAAGGGTATTTTTGGTAGTTAAATGGGGTGTAATTAGTTAATTTTACATTTTGATTTAAATATTAGGGTGTGCTTTAAATCACATAGTATACTCAGTTAATTTTAAGGTTCGTTTAACAACCTAAGTGCATTATCACAAAGTCTTTCCATCCAAGTCAAACTCCAGCAAAAATATTTCCATGTTTAATTGGCAAAGGGAATCAATTAATTAGCAGATAAGCTATTCTAATACCATTTGATCTTAAACACGTGGCATTATAAGGTTAAAAACAAAGTTCAGCTAGGATCCTGTTTAATTTAAACTTGGCAGATTTATATTTAACTCTAAGAAGAAGAGAAAAACGAGGACACTTTTTATATAAAGGGGAGTTTTACATAAAATTAGCCAGGAAATTGGCCATTGACCAAAAACAAAACCAGAAAATTGATCGGAGCCATGGACTCGTCGCGACGTCAAGTCGATCGTCACCCATTGAATTGGGTACGGCTTATGAGTCGTTTATCCTCAAGGGAAATGGTTATGTTTGGTTTTAAGGGTTTGAAGGAAACAAAGGTGAAACCCAAAACCCTAATTTTTATGTTTGATTACTTGGAAAGTGTAGGAACAGGAAGGAAATTTGATTTTTTTTTTGTTTTTCTTAATGGGTTTCTTTAGTTGTATGTGAGCTGTTAGTGAAGTGCACTGTTTGGATGAGTTGGTTTGTGCGTCTAGGGATTTAGGAATTTGGAAACACAAATAACAATGAGCAACTGATGATGATATATTTTATTGGTAGAAAGAATTAGGAATTTGAGAAATTTTCTGGTGTCTTCAATTGTGGGTTTCTGATCTAAATTCTTTCTTTTGTATGATCAGCTGGATGTTGGAGAACCAGCTGTTACTCCCAAAGGTAAAATGCATATATACATCAAAACCAAATATATTAATTAGCTTCATGCATATATATATATATATATATATATATATATATTGAGATGCATTTGATCTTATTCTAGTTTTGTTTTCTTACCCTATTCTTGTTGTGTTGTCATGTTCATGTTCTGCTAATGATGAAGTAATTGTTGCCGTCGACAATCTTCGTTTAGATGGGAAGAACTACAGTATTTGGTGTTATAGGATGCTTTTCTATGTCCTGAATGGTCTTACACGTGTGCTCTATGCGCCATGGCCAAGATTTCTGGTAGAAACCGAAGCAAGTGTTGAAGAAATTGCTATATCAAGGGCTGCTGAAGAGATATGGAACAAGAAAGACTCCCTGTGTTTTCATACAATCTTGAACCATCTATCTGATGATCTCTTCCTTCATTACTCAAAGAGGGGGAAGAAAACAAGTGCTAAGCAACTGTGGCATGAGCTACAATCGAGGTTTGGAGAACACGATTCTTGCATTCCAGATTACCTGGAATATCATTTCCTTGAAGAGGAACCAATGGTGGAGCAAGTTGAAGAACTGAATGCAAGGTTCAAAGAACTGTTTAAATGTGAAGAAATGGCGATAGATGAGGAATTTCATGTGAATACAATAATCTCCAAACTCCCCCCCTCTTGGGAGGATGTGCGCATCGAGTTGATGCGTGAGGATGAGGAGGAGCATCTGTCTCTTGCAAAGCTGATGGATCGCTTGGAGGTTGAAGAACAATCACGCATCAATTAATTAATCACAAGGAAAGGAAAGTAGTAGTAGACTATAGTAGTATTAGTAGCAAGTTTGGTTTTTGGGATATATGGCAGGTAGAAAGTAGTGTATGATCGATCCATGTCCGTCCTTAGTTTTAAGGAATTAGGGCACAAGCCACACCACCACCTGCTGGGATTTTATGTTTCCATGCTTTGATTTTGTTATAAAATTGATTACATTATTTTTATTCAATTGCTCTCACTATTTAACCAATCACGTATTTGTCATTGTAATCACCTATTGAAAAAAAGAACAAGTGTCACAAAAAGGATATTACCCTTTATTTTTTGTTGTAATTCAACCTCAATACTATTTTTTATTTATCCCAAACCTCAATACTACTGAGGTTACCCAAGTTTTTGAACATGCGATTAATGAGGGGAAAAGTATCTGCAATTTTGCATTTTATACTTAATTGCTTAAAATAATGCAAATGATCTACTAGTGTAGTGGTTTGGAGCAATTGCTCCCTCATGAAAGGTCACGGGTTCGAGTTCTAGTATACGTGTAGTGTATGAGTTTAGTATGTTATCGTCCTTCTCAATAGGAAATGTCTTTAAAAAAATGAACTACCTATTGACTACAAACCAAAGCTCCCTAAAAAAAACTAATAAAATATTTTTTTAAAATATAATTGAAAATTAAGAAAAAGAATCCCCCAACGATTAAAATAAACAAATAATGACGGAGATAATAGAGATGTTGTTGGTTAGGGAATGCTTTGTATTTTTCTCAATCTTTGTTGTGGGTTATGGTTGGGTATTGATTTGTTTTGAGTTTTTACAAGTTGGGGTTGTGATTTTTTTGGTGGGTGTAACGAGCAGGAAGAGGTGGGGGGGTGGGTGGGTGGTGTCAGGTTGGTTGGGGTGTGGAGAAGTTCTAGGAGGTAGGGAGCCGCGTCGGAGGGGGCTGAGGGGTACGAAAAGGGTTTTCTGTGCTTTTTAATTATTATAATTTTATGTTTTTTACTTTATTTTTTTTTTCTCAAAATTTTAATTATTGTTTAGGTGGAAAATGAACAAATTGCCTCACATGCTTGGTACATGATATTTTTAACGAAAAAAATTGATGGAATGTGAGGAAAATTAATTGTAAAGGGAAATTGGATAAAAATTAATTGTGAGATCCTTAATTTTTTTTTTTCATTAAAAAAAAAAGAGAGAAATAGGTGATAAATCGAAAGTTAGGTACAAGTTCAGGAAGTAAATGAATAGTTTAGCCATTTTAAATTGGATTTTAAATTTTTTTTTAGTATTTTAATCAATTAAGTATTAAAAAAGTGAGTCCCATATATGCCGAATCATCACTTAACAGCAAGGCTTAAGGGCATAGTCACATTACAAAAAATTTACAAACATAGGATCTTTATTGTCAAAATTGAAAATGCCGGGACAAGCACATGCCTTAAGGTTAAGTGGACATTGGAGCGGCAGTTGGAAGAGAGTAATAATAATGATGGAAAAGAGAAGCTTCGCATTATGTGCTGATGTATGTCTTCACCTTCACTCCTCTCAGTAGTAGATAAAAAGAATATTTCTTTAAAAGATATTCCTAGTTGAAACCATCTATTTTCTGTTTGTGTATGTATAATCTTGTACCCCATGAGATAAAATACTAATTGTATTTGCATATCTATGACAACATTCACATGTGTTGTTAATTTTTCGAATAGGACTATCTATTAACTGATCTAATAAGAATTTCTATCATTACGTGACCATTTCCAAATAATGCAAAGGATTCCAAAATTAAAAAACACTGCTCAAATGCCCAAGAATCATATCCATACTGAATTTGGTTTTATCTCAGCAGCAAGGTGAAGATCATACATGAAATGAAACAAAACACGAAATATCACCACATACAACTAACAAGAACAATAGAATCATTCTCAATACATTGTTAACTGCCTATTTAACTAAGGATGTTCATTTTTTTTTTCAAAAAAACAAGACTAATGATATCCCTTTGCACTGTTAAGGGCCAGGTTCTCAATTTCTCTTTCAGGTTGCCTATTTTATCCAAAGACGAAATCTTTCACACAACTTTCAGCAGACTCTGTCGCCCTCTTAATCTGCCATCACAAATTTGTGCCATTAGCCTTCGAAACACTTAACGTACACCAAGTATAGAAATTATTCAACAAAATCGATATCTATCAAAAGAACCAATGACAATCGCCAATTACATTGAAAGTTTTCTAAGACAGAGGAAAAAGGAACATGAAAAGAGAGAAGTCTCCGCTTAGCTAAAGGCATCCTGCCTTATAATATATATATGGAGAGACAAAACATGTTTTACATTAAACAATCTAGTCTTTAACTACCTAATAATACCTCAGCACTAATCTTAGCCATAATCTGTTTCAAAGGCCAAGATGCTATCCTTACAGACAGAAACAACAAATTTTTAAAAAAGACAATCAACAGCACCTCTAGCAGGCAAGCTACTTTGCAATAACGAACTCCTTTCATGTCTGCACCTATTTCTAAATTCTAACTCGGAAAATTTGTCACTGTTCCATTCAGCATCATATAGTTCTAGTTTCATGAACACTCCTACAAGCAGTCCACTACACAAACAGTTCACATGATCATTTTGATAATGAGATATGGCAACAGGTTAGCTAAATTATGTTTAACAAGCTAGAAGGACTTGGGTAGGATTAGCTTGGTGAAATCGGTGTCTTAGTGCTTTATCATATTTGTTTACATCTATTACATTATTTACTTATTGTTAATATACTTGCTTAATTACATTTTCTCCATCATAACCTCTTATCGTATGATTCAAATATAATTAGAAATAAATCACTATAGTATTTAATAGATTAACTTGATCCATGTTGGAACGATACTCTTTTTACTACTATACTAATTTGAGCGATATTGTTCACTTGCAATTAATCACATCAGAGCAACCTACAGCTCCATCACTATCATACTTGCCTTTATTTGGGCATATATAAATGGGTGATCTAGAATATTGTTCACTTGCAAAGAATATGTGGATTGTTACGATGAGACATATCATCTGATTCTTTCATTCTCTCTTCGTATCTAGGTTTCTCTTAATATTTTCTTTTAGTTCCACTGCTTCTCTATTAGTATAAATTTATCTGACATGCCGCCAATTGGAAGTAGAAAAAAAAAAAGAGTAATGTTGTGGGTTTGATACATTTGTTCGCATTGAGGCTGCACTTAAGTTTTGATTTAGTGATTGTCTATTGTTTACTTTAATGTTGGAGGCTTTTCAATTAATTGGTCACTAATTGTGTGATTGGAAGAATTAGGTTGAGACTGGAAAGGAGATGCCTACTAAATAGCTTCCTCTAATAAGTGCCATAAATTACATTGTCGACTCGAAGGTTATGGTTTGTGTAGTCTTTAATGTTTTCCACAAATCTTAATGGGTTCTTAGCCATCTAAATCCATAACTAGGAATAGAGTAGGTTGATGGTAAGGAACACAACTAATATAACTCGGAAAAGAGTATTAGTGAGGTAAGGAAAAACAATTATCAACATGTAAAACCCACCACCAACACCACCACTCGACGGCCTTGTAGTTCAGGCCGTGAACCTAACAGCCGAGACCAGTTCCTCTCTCGGCTACAATCGTTTGACCAGGAAGACAGATCAAACAGGCGCACCATTCATTCATCCAATACTCATCGAAACATCAACGCACGGTAAACCGTGCTGGCACGCCCGCGCACAACCGCACCGCACCCAAAAGCAGGAAACCCCGTGTTAACGCACATCCCCTCGGCCCGGAACTCCAGGCCGTGAGATTTGAGCGGCAGACAGCTGCTGCCTCCAAATCAGATCCAATCTATTGCCCAAATCTACCAACTCCATCTCCTTTCATCTTTTTTTCTGATAGCTCTTTCCCTCTATCTCCATATCCTTGAAGTGGAAAATGCAAATCAGACCCTTGATGTCAAGCTTTGGTGGGTATGGGTTCTCGGCGACTGGGAGATGGGGTTGCCGCGACGGTGGCCACGATTCTAATGCTCCAAGTATTACAAAACCGAGGCATTAGAGGCCAAGCAATCCTGAGATGTTCTACAGGGCAGCAACCCGTATTTTTCAATTTTGAATTTCATTTAGGAATGGGTGGGTGATACTCTTACGGAATTTCAATTAATGTTATTGTTATTTGATTTGGTTGTTTTTGGTTTCTTAAGTTTGATGTATTTAGTGATTTTCCTTGGTTCAAAATTTGGTTGTTTGGTTCTTGTGAAAATATTCTATCATTGCATTTGTATGCTATTCGGAGCATCTGGATCTACTAATTTGCTGAAATTTCAAATTCAATGTGATTGTTTATTCGTAATTTTTTTCATGTTTGCAATTTTGGGTGTAAATATTGCTTCAGTGAAAAAAAAAAGGGGTCGGAATCCAGCCTAAGCGAGTGAGCAACTGGGTTGTAATATTTTTTTTTAAATAAAATATATAGCATTGAGCACGATTCTAAAGTTGTGTCTGTCTTTGTACATATGTCTAATCAGTTCATAAAATGACTGAGGCAGCTTGTCAGAATACAACCACAAATACTTTTTTTTCGTGCTTTATATTGTCTGACACGAATTTGTGATTCGTGTCCTATAGTAATAGAAACCCCTATAGAAAACACCGTCAACTTAAAGGTCGCTGCATTGTGGCTTTTGGACATAGAGCACAGTTATTTGTGCCTCTTGCAGTTAAGAGCACAAATAAAAATGGTGCCCAAAGCCACATATTCTAGTAGTGTGTTATGTAAATTAGGATTAACAAGTTAGAAGGATTTGGGTGGGATTAGCTTGGTGAAATCGTTGCCCTAGTACTTTATCATATTTGTTTTCATCTATTATATTATTTACTTATTGTTAATTTACTTTCTTGATTACATTTTCTCCATCATAATCCTCTTATCGTATAATTCAAATATAATTAGAAATAAATCACTATAGTATTTAATAGATTAACTTGATCCATGTTGGAACGATACTCTTTTTACTACTATACTAATTTGAGCAATATTGTTCACTTGCAATTAATCACATCATATATGAAACACCAGAGCAACCTACAGCTCTATCACTATCATACTTGCCCTTATTTAGGCACAAATGGGTGATCTAGAATATGATTTATGCTGCCATGAGATTTGTATTACCCATGTTGACTCTATCCCTTACAATGATGACCAATGGATTCCTTGCTGGTGTTGATCTGGTTACGAAAGATCATATTTGGCTTTCCGACACTATTTTGGCCATCGATTCAACCTTCATCATCATCATATTATTGCTCATTGTTCCACTCGGGCCCCAATTTCCTCCAGGAATGTTGTAACTCGCTTCACCTTACTAGCCAACTTCACTCTGTTGATGACCGTAACTGGATATGACATCCACTTCGATCAAGAACAGATCCAAGATTCTAAAATAGATCTCTATTCCCTTGATTGGTATAATGCGATGATTATTTTTTCATATCCGTATGAAATTAGTCCAAAGAATATGTGGATTGTGACGATGAAAAATTTCATATCATTCTCTCATTCTCTATTAGTATTTAGGTTTCTCTTAATATTTTCTCGTAGTTCCACTGCCTCTCTATTAGTATAAATTTCTTTGATATGCCGCCAATTAAAAGAAAAAAAAAGTTATGCTATGGGTTTGATACATTTGTTCGCTTTGAGGCTACACTTAAGTTTTGGATTACTGATTGTCTATTACTTTATTGTTTAAGGCTTTTCTATAATATTGTGAGCGCTTTTGGTGAAGTGCTAGTGTGAGTGCTTTTGGTGATGTCTAATAGCTTGTGCAACAGGTTGTGCTTAATTAGTCTAAACTGCAACTCCATGAACGTTTTCGGCAGTTTACCCTTCTTTCTATTTCTTGTCTGACCATATATATATTGTTTATACACTAGTTTTGATCAAATCTTGACTAGTTTTGGTCTCCATGCATCATGCATGCAAACCTTAATATTTAATCAAAATCGAGATTTGCCTTCAACAACTCTACTCAGGTAAATGACAATGAAGATTGAGATATTGCTTAAAATTTACAAATTTATTTATAGAGATCACTCATAGTTTATAACAAGTCTCTTTTTCGTAGTTTTTTCCCTTACTTTTGGCATATAAAGTAAATCTAGCCATTCTAAATTTTCATTTATGTATGTTTGTGTAAATAATCTCGCGGGAGAATATTCGCTTCTAGATCCTTCGCCCTTTGGTCTTCCTTCTCTCTCTTCCTCGATTCCTGTAAAAAAAGACCAGAGTAAATAGACCACACCCGGGAGGTGTTGGCCAAAGGCCCTCCAATGCCTAAGTTAGTTCAATTGAATCTATGTGAAATAATAGCTAAAAAGGGTATGAAGATTTCTCTAAGGTAAGAACTGGGTGTCCGGAGCCGTGTGTGGTGGCCGGAGCCGTGTGGAGAAAATATGGAGAGTGGAGAGTGGAGAGGGAGAGAGCTTCAGGTATTTTTCCCGGGTTTTGGAGCTAGGTTTAGAAGTACCTTGAATGATGAATGAAGTCATCTATTTATAGGAGCCTCGGGGCTAGGGTTTCGTAGAGAATAAACTCTTATTAGGAGGAGTTTAGGGGGGTGTATTCAATTTAGATTTCAAAAGATTTTAAAGAAGTTTAAAAGTTTAGGTGTATTCAATCATGATTTTATAAAAGTCTATTCAATTCTGGGTGTATTCAATTAAGATTTTTTAACCTCCATTCAAATTTGGATGTATTCAATCATGACTTTAAAAGACTTCATAAAAGTTTGGGTGTATTCAAAAACTCATTGATTTTAAAGAAAATACAAAAAGAAGTGGATTTCGTTTGATAATAGACTAATTTTAGGCCATGACAAATCTTTGCTTCCCCCCAGAGATTTTGATAGATATATTATTTTTATACTCAAGATATAATTTCACCACTTCTATTACCACCATTTTATCATGACTATTACCATAGCCGCCCCCGCCACCATCACCACCACCACAGTCATCGTCGTTGTCGCCACCACCACTGCCACCTCCACCACCACCCACCTTCGCCCCCACTATTAGCCCCACCTTCACCCCCACCATCACCACCACTACTGCCAGCACCATCACCATCACTGCCACTGCCACCGCCGCCACCTCCACCACCCTTACCCCTACCTCCACCACCCTCACTATTAGCCCCACCGTCACCACCACCACAACCACTGCCAGCATCATCACCATCACTGTCATTGCCATCGCCACCGCCATCGCCACCACCTCCACCACCTCACTGTTGCCGCCACCACCACTACCACCCCTAACTCCTCCACCACTACCTCCCCCACAAACCACCATCGCCACCACCATTGCCATCAAACTCAATTAAAATCTATACATGAATTTAGTCAAAATCTATGTGGAGTTTGTAGACTTCAGTCAAACTCAGTTAAATTCAATTAAACTCCATCAACTTTATAACTCTTTACCCACATTTGTAGAGATTGAGTCGGACTTGATTATATCTCTTTATTAGGATAATATCTAAATTAATGATATTATCTCATTAAATAAAGATAATATCCTATAATTAAGATATTATCCCTATTAATTAATTGGCCAAATTAATTAGTTCAATTAATTAATTAAGGGATAATCTTTTTTTCCACATGGCTTGCTGTGATTAGAGACGAAAATATTTGCTCCCACAATGTAGCTTTAGAAATAGGCATTTGATGCATGTAGCTAAATTTAGATTTGAGATGGTCTACAAGAAAATGAGCACTTTGCCACATCCACATCAAATTTGCGTCTATAAAATTGGTGAGATTCGTATTTTGGATTAAATTTAACAAACGACATGTTTAGAATTTAAATTATAGGGACTGAAGTAGAATTTGACTAAAATACCACCAACGACCTTTAGAATTTAAAGAAAACTTGAAAGTAGAATTTGACTAAAATATCACCAACCTTTAGAATATAATAAATAAAAGAGTATAATAGTTTCAGACTTTTCAAAGCATAAAAACAGTCGGAGACATGGACTCCGAGCGACTCGTAATCGATCCGTCTGCTATGGGCCGGAATGGTGGAGAAGGGCTGAAGGAGACGAAGGTGAAACCCTAATTTCTACGTTTGGTTACTTTGAAAGTGTAGGAAACGGAAAGAAAATTGAATTTTTCAATAATATATAGGTTTCTTTGGTTCTATGTGAGTGTTTAGTGAGTTGCACAATTAGGTTTTCTTCTTCTTTTTTAAGCAATAAAAATAAGTACTTTGTTAGGTTTCTAAAGCCCTCGGCTCTGGATTCTGTTTGGTGGATGAACACTTGCAGGCAAAAACAAGAGAAACTTAGATTCTATTGGATTATATTAATAGAAATTATATAGGAATTCCAGAACTTTTTGGTGTATAAATTTGTGGGTTTCTGATCTAAATTAATTCTTTTGTTTTATTAGGTACCAATACCAAAGAAGAGAATGATACTAACGAAGAGAATGAGATTGTTGGCGGAATTTGAAGAAAAATTTGAAGGAAGAGATGGAAAGCTGGTTTCTGCTTATGGTACCATACACCAATTTATCTTATTTATTGATCTTATTATTTTCTCGTGGCAATTTACTTACTCCTGGCCTTGGTTTAGGTTAGAAATGTGTATGAATTACTGTTTAATTATATTTAATGATCTCTTTCCCTGTATATGCATTCCCATATGACCTGAGTGTGTTCAAGACATTAATAAGTTGTTTGGTTGGCCTTCTCTCTTATGCTTTCTAACAGTTAAATGAACATTGGTTGGATTAATTTCAAGTGATTTGTATTGATGCTATGTTTTCAGTAATTTGGAAAGCATTAAGAGAGAGGACCCAAGACATGCATGAGGTCGCCAAGATTGAGTCAAAGTTGAGATCTGAGCATGCCAATGAGCAAACCGAAGATGGCATGTCTAATTCAACAGTGGCTGGTCTTGCTCCTTGTTGCATTCCTAAGAGGACACAAATTAATGTGCAAACAACCAATTAAAAATACCCGCAAGTGCACGAGTCTATTGAAGTATAGATTATACAAGTACGGGGTCGATCCCACGAAGAACTTGTCGGCTCCCTATAAGTTCTAATTTGAGTACGTAAAGAACACTTAATTGACACACCACAAATACGCAAATACAAAATGGAAACTAAAAATAAGTAAAGAAGTGCAAAAGAATTGAAACAACACAAGAAAACTAAAGAAAAACACAAACAGCATTTTCTATCGCCATTTTATCACCTGTTTATCACCTGTGAACAGTGCCGTGAACAGTGAACAGTGACATGAACAGGGCCGTGAACAGTGAAAAGTGACGACCGGTCGCGTGAATAGTGACGACCGGTCGTTTTTCGGCAGAGTCGAAATTTCAATAAACGTGTGATGAGCGACCGGTCGTGAACAGTAACGACCGGTCGTTTTTGGGCAGATTCGTTTCTCTGTTTTTCAGTTTCGACCTCTGTCCAGTGTTTTGCCTATAACTTTCCAACCGTACGTCGAAAATTCACGTTCTTTATACGGTTGGATTCAGAACAGAAAATGCAAGAACACAACGCGGACCAAAAGTCCAAAACAATTACGGAAACAAATAAAATTCAGTATCAAATACCCACCACGTGTCGAACTCACAACTCACACACACATT